AATGACATCCCAGGATCTGCTTGAGAAGCATCTATGGATGCAAGCCAGTGTTTTGCTCACTTTACTAGCCGCAGCATCACACTGAAGGCGCATGTTCATCTTGTGCTCAACCATGACCCCGAAGTCCCTTTCATCTGTAGTGCTAACCAGCGTAGCACTGCTGAGCCTATAAGCATGCTGCAGGTTTTTCCTCCCCTGCATTTTTTGGTGTTGAACACCATCAGGTTCTCATCCGCCCATTTCATGAGTCTGTCCAGATCTGCCTGGATCACCCTCCTGTCCTCAGGTGTGGATGCTTAAATAGCAAAATAGCTAATAAATAGCAAAAGAGTTCATCACTTGCCTACTGATGCAAGGTAACAGGTGTTTTTTAATTTTTTTCTTACTGTAAATCGACAAATTACAAAAAATGTAGTCAAGGATTCTTTCAACTGACAGAAATCACAACTACCAATCCTTGCTGATTAAAGATCATTATCATAGGTTTAATGTTTTTACTGATGATTTTTAACATCACAAGTTTGTAATGTGCCATTTTCACATGCTGAATGAACTTGATCCTTGTGTAGCAGGGCACTTAACCCTTATCTTCACACATGCTTAGTTACTGAAGTGCTAAGTACCTTGCAGTGCACAGGAAATGCAGAATCAGCCCAGATGTGGTTGAATTTGAGATTATACTCAATATAAACAAGAATAAAATCAGAGCAAATATAACACAATTTTTCAATTATCAGTTCCAAAATATATTTTCTGTCCAGCCTCTCAGTTAACAAAATCATGCATCTCCATGTTAAATTATGCTTTGTTGCAATGGAATATTTTAAGGATTTCAGGAAATAGTAGTTTCTGATGCTTAAAAAAAACTGTTGAGACTCATAGAATAAGGTCTTGTTCTGCAACTTTGAAATATATAATCTCAGCATATGTGTATATGTGAAGTGAACAGAAATCTATTAAATATCGTTTACCTACAAAGCTCTGGAATTGATTGCTTGCATTGCTTTGAGAATTGTCATTGGCAGAATTAATAAAATTACATGAATATAGTAAGAAGCAAGGATTTACTGCAAATATATTGAAATCCACGTATTCACTGGAAGATGTAAAGTTTAACACAGTATGGACATGCAAACACACACACACAAATATTCATAAGGAGCTGTTTTATTTTACGCACACACACAGCTGAGCTCAAAAGGTTGTAGGAAGGCATGTCTTATTTAAATGGAAAATACTCATGAATCTCAATATCCAAAATGGACAGAACTGAAAGAAGTCTTATTTCAGCATGGTGGTGTATACTGATGATATATATGGCTGGCCTTTGACAGCACTGACAGTAACAGTACAACAAGACACAACTGAATCCTTTATGGTGTGTTATTAGAATATAAAGTGAATATTTTAGTGATGTTTATTTTTTTAAAACAATAGAGATTTATGGCAAATGAAAATGTACATATCTCGTGTCCCAATTTTGCTTTAGTTGTACATTTTATGCTGTAAGGAAACAGAACTGAATCTCTAGGCAGGTACATAATTGAACTGTGCCAGAATTATAATGCCAGAATATTTCGAGAGAAATCCTTGACCAATAAAAAGCATTCCCAAGAAAAGACCTGCTTGTGCTTGCTTCAATCACAGACACCCTTTGTTTCAGTCTCTTCAGAGATAAGCAAAAGTGGTCAGAACCTGGATGCTGCCAAGGGGGCATGGGTAGTGTGGCCCAACATCACACACAACACAATATGCATTTTACTCCAGGGAGAGAGAAACTACAAGTGTTAGGCCCCTGCTACATGTTACATATATTACACAATTCACTGGGGACTCATGCAATAAATGTAAACCAGGCACACATGCAAAGTTATCCTCACAGGATAAAAATGGCACTTCTACTAGGAAGAGATGTTAACAAGGTTCTTTGGGTAGATGCAATCGTTTTTATTAGACCAACTAAACAGTTGCAAAAACTGTTCTTTGCAAGGTGTGGGGCACAAACACCCTTCTTCAGGCAGAGGGAGAATCTGCTGGGGTGTGTAAGCTCTCCTGGGTGGAACAGAAGCCAAATTGGGGGGGGGTGGAATAAATACATTTTCCTACTATTTAGTTGGACTAATAAGAGAGATCACATCTACCCAAAGAACCTTGTCTTCCTGTGTCCTTAGACCAACACGGCTACAACCAACACCCCTGAGCCTTCTTGGGAGGCACTTGTCGAGTATCTTTAAAACCCAGCATGCACCAAGCAAGGCCTTCAGTCACTGTTCACCTGGCAGATGGATGGGCTGCCAGCAAGGGGGTGCTGACCCAGCA